TCGCGTCGACTCTTTTGACTGTAACTCCTGATTAGAGTATCGAATTGTGTGGGGGTAAACGGAATCGAATAGCTTAGCTCCTCCTCTTACCTTACATGTAAAACTTGCTATGATTGGTTGAAAAAAACCCACCGTACTTTTCACAAAGAAAAAAGTGGCCAATGACAACTTTCGATAGATAAGGCATCGTTCGAGACTTACATGTACATTGATGTACCACTGCTTACCACGCGTTTCATGATCTCGGACTCTGCTCATCACCTGTTTTTCAGGACACGTTCTCCCCAATTCTACTTTAGATAAGACATTTAAAAACTATCCATTTGTAAATCAGTTATCTGGCATTACAACTGTGGTCTTTTTAGAAGTTAATTTCATTTTAAAATAATGTAATTTTGGATCTGAATACTGTTCACTTCAAGGCAGTTGTAGAAATTTGTGATGGAAAGAACGTGCACTTGTTTATTGGGCTGTACCATTTTAATTGTGGGGAGGATATCTATATGCATGTACACGTTAGCGTATACGTCAGATTTCTTGAAGAATGCAAAAATGGAATAAGATGTTTATATTAAGTTTGAAAACATCGCTCACTGGGATGTATTTGAACATTTTTTTGTGCAGGTTAAATAATCCAGTAACTACAAAATATAACGACTTCTTGTAAAAACAGTAATTGCAAATACTGCTTGATAAAACCACTAATCGGATGACCTTTTTGGAAAGGTTAAAACCCGAGCAAAGTTTTAATGTAAAAAAAGCTCAGTGATTGGACTTTAATCAGTCACGAGTGAACAGTTTGGGGCTTAATGAGCTGATATAAGCTGAAGGAGGGGGTTTCCATCTGAAATAACCAAAGGCCCAATATCTTAAGTTTTAAAGTCTGTTGAATGCTGGCATTATATACCTTGCGTTCAGTGGCGTAAATTTGTGCCGGGGACTTGGGTTGGAAATTCGAATAGCGGGGGGGGGGGGGGAGCTTGGCTTGCTGGACACCACATGACACTAGGGGCGCTGTTCTTGATACAGATGTTCATCTTATGTAAATGTATACTTACGCGCCTTAACCTAACATCAAAACGGTGCATTTAAAGCTTTTGTGTTCCAACCCTCCCCCCCCCCAGCACTATTTCATACGACAACAAAGAATTAAGCCATTTCATTGTTTCATTAAACCTGGGCCAAATCTCATGGCTTTGCTTAACGTTAGTGAAAGATAGCCCCACTGTAGATTTTGAAAATCAGGTGATCGTCACAAAGTGGCGAGCATGCTTGAACAACGCCAACTAATGATCATTTCGCATTCGGTCCCATTCATTAAAAAAAAAACGTTCTTTAAGTTTCAAAAGGCGATATCTCACTCCCCCTCCGCCGTCCGGCCCAATTTGCGAATATGAGGTGGTAGGCGATTACAAAGGGGGGGGGGTATGGCTGAAATGTGGAAAACTAACAAGTATACAAAATTGCAAGCAGTTGACAACAATACCTATTCCTTGAGGCAGTGCTAGTGAGATGGACTGACTGTAAAATTTGTGTGTGTTTTGGGGGTCAAATATGCAAAGAGTAAATAGTTGAAAATGTTTAGTACATGTTGGTTCTATTAGGAAATGTTGTACCTCATTACATAGTGAAAGTAAGAGCCATAAATCACATGCAGTATCAATACCGTACCTTGCTCTACGTTGTAATTTGTTTTATAACACTTCACCCACAGATTCTGCATGATTTTAATATTTTAAATTATTTAAATCTGAACACAGTTGAAATAAACTTCAGTTTCAATACAAAATTGGTGGAATATGTATTTCTCTCTTAAAAACTACCCCTTCACGAAATGTTTGAACCCAAGTCTGCGGCGCGCTCTCTTTGGAATAATACGCGCTACGCACAACGCGCACACCGGCATGCATTTGCACACAAATACCGCGCCGTTGAAATAGTACTTTGGTTGCTAATGGTATAGTACTTTGGTTGCTATGCGCATAGTACTTTTGGCCGTGCACAGGAAGATAGCAAAGTTAGAAAGTAACATGTGACTCGCTCTCGGCCAATCAAGACACAGAATCTGTGGGTGAGGTGTTATAATAGGAAATATAGCAACAAAGCTCTAGTTTGGTACTTCCAATGTATTTTTATCGCACAGTAGTGAAGATGACAAATGGTGACGCGCGAATTTGATGACAGGCCACTATCAGTGTTGTGTTTTTCTTCTCGCTTCCTATTGGTTAGTTTTCATAGCCTGCTGTTACTGGGCAAACTTTGATCCTTTAATGTCATCACCCCTGGTTTTTTATTTGTTTAGTACTTATTTACTTTTCGAAAGATTCAAAGTGTAAGTGCACAGGGATTTCCCATATTGTTTACCAAATGGCATCCAACAATATCGTGGCCAGTCAATAATTGAGACCACATAAATTGTATATGTTTGAATGAAAATTTACGACAAAATACTATAAGTATAAAATGACATAAACATCTACTATTAAATAGTTTTGTTTAAGAAATATTAGTATTGTATCTTTATCTGCAACATGATAAAATGAGTTACTACACTTAGATTCATGATTTGTTGAATTGAAAAATCCCTAAACGATCTTTGTAAGTAAAATATGCATGAAAGCTTCGGTATGTAGATATCAGCAAAAGTATAGATATTAAAAATACAAAATGTTGTGACGTCCAAACAATGCAATATTTCATGTGAAACACTGTGCAAAAAGGTCACTAAATTAAACATTTCAAAACAGTTGCAAGTTAATACACACATGCAAAATGTAAACCCTGATGACTGCTGTAATGATTGCGTGGGCGGAGGACGCCCCCCTGTTGCGCCCCGACCCCTTCCTCGGTATCATCGCCCGTGAAACCTAGAATAGTATTTAAAGCATGGAATTTTGCGTCGGGGAGACGTAAATTCAGTCTTGCATTTTTCACTACACGGACGTAATTTTATCAGGACTTTGAACGAAGTTTTATAAAGACTTTTTCAACCAACTTGGTTTAAAACCTTATTTTCTAGGTAATATTCTGGACGAACATTGGAGTAAATCAAATTAGGCTTTGCCCTTCACCGACGTATAAACACTGTATACTCAGCGTGTTACCTCCCAAGTGAAAGTTGGAAAAATCACTGGGGTGGGACTCGAACCCACGACCTCCTGCTTTCTAGTGCAGATGTCTTACCACTCGAACACCAAGCTAACGGGATCGATCGGCTGGTTCAAATCTTAAAGTACATGGGATTCAATCAAATTTGTTTTAAAGTAAAAAAATAACACGTTATTGTCTGCGTCGCAAACGATCCAAAATGTGCAACAACATGGTATAGTAAGTGAAATTTTCACTTACGACTGTAAACACAGTCAAACAAAAAATGTGCCCTAGTTGAAAACGACTGATAACTATAATATTCTTTTTATGGTAAAAACCATTTCTCTACGAAAAAGAAGAGCTTGACTGCAAGGTGTTCATTATTGCACGGAAAAGCCTTTAGTCAACATTTTCACGAACTTTAAAACAAGTTGTTTTCCGCTTGGTTTACTCTGTGTATTTGATATTTCCTTCTCCAGCTCATATCAGCCCTTTTAAGCCACGTACTATTGACTTATAAAATATTGAACAAAGTCCAATCACCAAGCTTTTTGGATAAACCCTCCCCTTTAACCTATTTTAACAAAAGGCCGTCCAACTACTAATAATTGCAATCGCGTTATTTTATGTACACCATATCTTTATGCGTTCTATCTATAAGTTAATTCGTAACTTATAAGAACACCATACTCAAAACTTACTCACAATCTGTTCATTGACGTGTTTATATTTTGTTCCTCTGTCGTTTGCCCTTGATGAAGGCCTTACTAAGGCTACTTTTATTTTTGATTTATATATTTCAGGTCAATCCAGTCAGTGAGCAGTTTGCAGCAGTTTAATTCATTACATTTACATACCCTTTATCATATAACGCCAGCGTAGACTGACAAGATTGACTGTACAACCAATGTGAATCACAACACTATACGGTATATTTCGCTACACATTCATATACTTGAGGGCAAGTGATGAAGATTCGAAATACCTGTTTAGTTAGACTTTGAATCTGAAGAAAAGTCTTCAAAAAATAGAGCTGATGACATTAGGGTGTCAAAGTTAGCCTAGTAACTGCAAGCCAAGAAATCTACAGCAACTATTCAACACTGACAGCGGCCTGACGTGATCACGTTCGCGCGTCGTCGATTTAAGCTATTGGAAAATCCAACATACCCTTCGTAATTTTCACAGTCTTACCCACCAAAAGAACATAACTACTGTCCTTTGCTGCGCGCGGGTTTAATATTGAGGGACACAACTGAATGCGTAATAATTCAGGCCAAGGGAAGTTTCATGCTTTTGACATGAAAGCATAGCAACATATTTTGTGCAAACAGCCATGACCTGTTTAATCTTATAACAACCATGACCTGTGTAAAAAATAATAATAATAATATTGATGCATGCCCTTTAACCAATATTGTGTGAGTCTTTTTTCCCACTTAATATTCAGAAATGTTCAAACCGCATGGCACCATTGACTCCGTGCATATACACGAGCTGTGCATCTTTCGGGGGTGGAGGCACATCGCATGCACGAACTGGTTCACGCGCGAATGATGCCGTTAGGTACCGGTGTAGCACGAATTTAGGTTTTATGAAATACTGATCCATTGGTTGTATTGCGCATGCTCATGCATAGATAACTAGGAGAGGGATCGGTCACGTGAGAGAGTTTTACCAATAAAAGGGGAAAAGAGTCCGATTTTCATTCGGGTCCGATTCTCATATGACACCGGTATGCAAGTATTATTTTATTCCAAATGTGCATCAACCGGTAACGTCTTTGCGTGAGCGTAATACGCTCTGCCGACGTCGCCTTATAATGAGGCGACGTCGGCAGAGCATGTTTAATCTTTTAACAATTTTCTGCCCATGCAACTGCACACATCTCACATTCCTGACAAACTGTCTTACCGGCTGCGATGCAACAGCTCACCATGACGTCCACTCAACGCAAGCGTTTTGGCAACGTTGTTGTGCAGCTCTTGTATGGGTTGGGCCTGTAACCCGACATTGGGCAACTCGCATGTGTTAGTTGAATAACCTCTTAATTTGACAGTATCATTGACCTGATCCTTCTGCCTATAACCTGATCGTTTTACCAAGACAGGTTTTATTAACCCATCACACAAGTGATTGCATTTGTGATTTTGGAAGAACTTTAACACGCCATTCGCCCCCAGATCGGTTGAACCGTAGTAGTCGAGCAAGTACCTAAAATTATCAATGCTATGAATTGCTGGATCGGTGAAGATGTAGCTGTTCTGGTTGTTAATCTGGTTGTAAACTCCTTGTAAGTCTGTCACGAGGATTTGGCCGTTTGATTCATGGTACGTGAAGTGGGAGAAGGCTACTGGAACAAGGGTATTTTCATTGGGGTTCACGTTACCGAAGTTGTTTGAGAATTGGACGAACCGTCCCCGAATGAAATGCTCAATCGCTACCGATGTACCCTCTGGTACCATCGCATCGGCTGTCTGTGCATCTTCACCTTTGGCCCCAAAACCCGTTTCAGACAAACGGTCGCTCATTTTCTTTCTTAGGGTGCTGTGGGTAGCAATTCTTTTGACTTTGGAAATGATGGGAATGAGAACCTCAATCGTTGGAATGCCTTTATCGCTGTGTTTGACGTTGAACCTCTCAGCCATTTCATGGGCTTTCATGGAGGTGCGTTTGTGCGCATACCAAGTGTCTTCTTGCAATCTGGCACAGTAATCCTCTTTAAAGTGTTTCACAACACACTTCTCACGCATTCTCTCTTGGTCGACGGGCATTATTCTGCCTCGGAAGGCGTATTTAAACGTTCCATTGGCAAACCAGTTGTCCTCAAAATCCGCACACACTTCTTTACCATCCCATGTAAAGGATTCAGATATGTGGGATTTAGATATGTTGCTTTCAATTAAAGTTTCTCGGCTCCGAGAACTACCGGTACCCATTTTTCGCTGGACTCATTCACCTGAAAGAAGACAAGACAAGCCTTGTTAGCTAATCCCACAGCTTAATACTATAGTCTATTGAATCGATTCATAACAGCTATTCCATATGTCTTTGTACATGACTCTGGTGTACACCATAGAGCAGCTTTAAGCTCATTACGAATGGTATACTCCAATACAACAGCCTGGCACGGATCTCTTCACCAGCCAACAATCGGGCCATGTCAAAAGTGATATTTAAGTTAGTCAATATTTACTGAGTCAGTCAGTTAGTCAGTGAGCAAAAAGAGGAGTCACGTAAATTTACTTTAAACTGTGAGTGACCCAAACGGTCATACCGTTGCGAAGGGCGATTTCTAAAGGCTACGTAACACTTCCTTTTGAACGAAACTACATGTGCACACACATGTTCACGGTGGCGGGCGAAATCTTTAAAAAAGAATTTCTCCTGTTTGGAAGACCGTATCTTCGTGCAACTTTCAGGGTTTACTTTCCTCATAATGATCCAAGTACGTGCTAAAAATCGTTGTGATGAGATCATCACTTTCGTTGAAATTGGAAAAATAGGCCTGGCTACGTGAATCATTGAAAATTGTAACACTGACGTATGCAATAGCTGTCAATCTTTTCAAGCCTCTCGAATATTAATAAGATTCTTATTCATTATGGTGTGCAGTAAAACCTTTGAGAAAAGCCTCCTGCACGAGTTATTAATTGATAAATATCAACCTTTTTGCCGACTTTCATTGGTCGATACCGAGACCCACGCCAAAACACGCCGAGTGACGCTAATGAATATGCTTATCTACAATACGATATATGGCTTGGCCGAAATCGGTCAACCGAAGCGCCTTTGCTGAAGAATGCATGTGACTTGGGGTCGGCAGAATTCATTGTCGACATTTTCCATGGAGATCGTTCAAATTGTAGCACTAGCGTTTGCAACAACATATTAAGCTGAAATTCGGAATATACTTAGATGATATTAGTGTTCAACTGCTCGTGAAAAAACAATTTTGAGAAAGTCCTAGAAATAGATAAAAATACAGAGATTTGGGGAAGTTTTCGAACGATTTCTTCCAGACTTGAAGATCACCTATACCAGTAACCAGTATTGACGTTTCGGCATCGATGACGGCGATTCTTTTCACTGACATGAAGCTAATAATTTCTTCTTCCGTTATAATTTAACTTTTCAATCATACTGTGCATATTTTCTGAGAAACACAACGTTCAAAAGGCCATGTTTTTTTTGTGGTGCATGAATTTCACTGCTCTGCTATAGCGTGTAAGTACGTAATCGGATTAGCTTTGCCTAACAACGGCAGACGCTTTGCCTTAGCAACCACATGACTGCAAAACTGTTATTGCTAACTGTGAACGACTCAATTTCTTTAACCTGCAATTAAGAGATCTCCTTAAAAGAAGTGTAGCTAGAAAAAGACACTTAAAAAAATTACCTGCCAATTACTTTGTACCTCCAAAGTAGTTCCGCGACACCTTTCAAAGAAAGTCAGACACTTGCGCCCTGCGCTAGCTGACTAGTACTCCAGCGTCAGCTTGCCTGTGGATCTGTGATGCGCCAGACAGGATTGGCGGTTATAAAGGGCTTCTAAAAATAAAGAGCTTACATCATGATCCTACGGGGATTCCCAAGCCAGTGTTCCGATATTGAACTTGTGCTATCACCGACGTCACACTAAACGGCGGGTTGACAGTGTAACAAAAATAGAGGGCAGGCCACTGATTGGGAATCATCTTGTCGTAGTCGCGTCATGGGTGCGGGCCTGTTTTGCCTAAATTATATTCATGCGCATTCTCTTTCCGAAACAAAATCCGTAATTTCAGCTATAGTATCATAGAAGATGCAACAAGCTTTTTTGTGTCCCTTTTTAAACGACAGACTGAAAATGGACCGTATTGCCTGTATAAGTAGGGCATGCGCACAGTTTTCCCATTTTTTTCGTTTTTGAAGTTGCGATCAAAAGTTTCAAAATGGTGGCAGACCTAGTGAAAGTAAGCGCTGTCATATATTGCACAATTTCGCACGTGATTTCCCAGCGAATCGGTTTCGGTATTAAAATTCGTTCATGAATCAGTCAAGTCAACTGGGACCTTTCATGGCTCTGCTATAGGCACACAATTATAGGCTTACGGTCACCATTTTGTGATAACCGCGCCAGCAAAATTCTGTGCTAACCCTGTAAGCGCAGACTTACGGGATGTACGCATGCTTACAAGCAAAAATTTCTTGGTAGCCGGTGAAACACGCTCACCGTAAGCATGAAATTTTCTGCTATGACAATAAGCAGGCATGGCGCTAACGGTAAACAGAGCCAAGAAGTTGGGCCATGGTCAAGGTAGGGAAAGGTATACGCACTTGACCCGTAACTATGGCGTCAATAAACAAAACCACTGATGCGCTACATGTCATTTCCCCATTATTTGAACTAGTGCAGGGCCCGTTAAAAATGTGCCTGTTCGGAAGGGGCAGAACTGCTGACACAAACAACGCACTTGGATTCAACGGTGTTGTTTTCACAGGTTGAACGCACACTTAAAACAGAACCTTTGTACACGTCGTCACCCCCCGGCACTAATATTTACCCATACTAGACAATGGTATCGCCGTATACAGTAAGAGTTGCTCAGTCGACCGCCTATAGTGATGGTTACTGCAGTCGACTGCAAAATGCGTGTGCCCGTGAGGCCGCATACGTACGTGTATACATATACGGCAGGAGACAAAAATTAATGGTATGCAGTGCCTGGCGGTCTATATTCACCCATACTGGAAAATAGTATCACCCTAAATTGAAGGTTCCTTAATCGACCGTAAAACGCATATGCCCATCCTTTTTGCGTCATATTGAGCACGCGCGCATAAGCTCAAATACAGACGTACACAATTGAAGGGTGGCAGCGCGTGGCGGTCTATAGGCCATATACTGCCGTGCATGGTTTGCTTAAGAAAATGCTGCTTTTTGGCAGCATTTTTGAGAACCGAAGTGCCCGTCTAAACTGTGCCTGTTCGGGAGAGGCAAATTGCTTGGCCGTTTGTATTGGTTACTGGCGGTGTTTTGAGAGCTGCTCGTACAAACATCGCACAAGATTCAATAGTATTTACATTGTTTGCACAGGTTGAACGCACTCTCACAGGTTGAACGCACATTTTTTACATGTGGACAGAATTGAGGAAGAAAAGTGTGCTTTTGTTTATTTACCCATTGTGGATAATGTAATAGCCCCCCCCCCCCCCTGAAGTACCCATTGTTGATATTGGAATAGCCGTATGGCGCCACTGAAGTTGCGTGATGTCACAATTAACACTACGTGCGCTAGCCTTGGTCAATGCTGTCGTCGTTATTCGTCCCGTACGCGGTAATCAATCAGCGGCATATCCTCGCGCGTTATGCAGTGCATGTAAATATACAGTGCGAACAGCGAACTCATGCGGCCACTTTTTTAATGCAAATCAGTTGGAGACAATCGACAGCCTTGGTTCAACCGTCCATGTGAGGTTTTGGGGGTGGTGATCATTACGCTAATAACCTTAAATGTCGTTTTCTTATTGGTCGATCTTTACGAGAAACTTGCATAGCGGAGAAACGTGGCACCGTAATAATGCATACACGCACGTTGTGTCTCTGCACACGGCACCAATGCACAAAAAAATGTTGTTTCTGTCACGTACGCAAAGGTGAATAGCTGTAAATAATTTGATGACGTCAGGATTTGCCAAGGTGTGATTGGAAACTCCACATTAGCCCCGCCTACACTTATCTATATTTGCTATACGAGGTCGTGCGCTAGAAATCCAGCGCAAAATAAAGAAAAACATAAGCTTTCGCCGACAATTGAACCAAGGCTCTCGATCGACTCCAACTGATTTGCATAAAAATAGTGGCCTCATGAGGTCGCTGTTCGCACTGTATTTTTACATGCACTGCATAACACGCGAGGATATGCCGCTGATTGATTACCGCGTACGGGACGAATAACGACGACAGCATTGACCAAGGCTAGCGCACGTAGTGTTAATTGTGACGTCACGCAACTTCAGTGGCGCCATACGCATGCGTACACATGCAGGCCAAATCTTTCATGAGACAAATCATGCATGGGGCCAATGTGCAGCTTGTTTGCAGCTTTTTCAAGAACCGCTCGTCCAAACCACTTCAAACTCGGCACTGCACATTCTGGTGTCCCGAGCAAAACACCCGCCGATTTTAACCTCATATGGTGCCCAGTTCTGGAGATAATCAACGTACAGACAGACAAACAGAGATTCCTGGAATTATAGTAAGAATTACTTCCATATTATGAAGCGTTCTGTATATTAACGCGAGCGAAGGATCTGGCTTTGCCGAGAATTTGAAGGGAAAAAAGTCCTTAACACACAGTTTTTGATTTTTTTTCTGAGGAGGTCACGTACGGTAGTCGACCTGGTGGTACCCGTGTGGTTTTTGGCGACTATCGAACATGTCCTTGTTCTTGTCCTCATACGTCAAAAATTTCAGAAAGTGGCGTTAAAATGCCACATTACTAAACTGTTGCACTTAACGGCAAGGAATTTACCAAAAGAGACCCTAAGAATTGAATCAAGATCTCACTTGTTTCATGCAATCTTTCCAGGGAGTAGCGAAAATACTGAATTCCATGATTACGACGATTGCAGTCCGTGCGTTGGCATGTACGCTATCGAGTGGCGATAATACTGTTTCATCACAACTTCAGAACGAGGCTTAGATGGCTGCCGAAGTGTATACCCGGGTAATTTCAAGATTAACATAATTTTATAAGACATTAATAGGGGTCGGCTTGCAGTTCATGTG